TTTCACATCGCCTCTGCTGTGGGCACACTTTACTCTTATGTGACCTTGAACAAGTCCTCCCCTCTCGGCCATCAGTTTGCCCGTCTGGAAAGCAGCCAGCATGCTGGCTCTCTGCAGGGCTGCGGGTAGCATCAGATGTCTGGATGTGAAGGACCCTCAGCTCTGGCTCTCTGCCGAGCTGGCTGGCGGATGGAGGAGCAAAGACCACCAGGTGCTGGGGGAGGGACTGGCCGGCAGGGAAAGGAGGCCGGATCGCAGATTTACTCCCTGCTGCCGCTCAGTGGCAATAATTGGGTACTGCAGAGGGTTGGTCTGGACGGCCACCTTCAGTTGGCACAAGGGCCAGAGCAGAAAGGCGCCTCTAGGGAGTGTTGTCTGGTCCTCCCTGGCCCCATTTCTCAGATGTCCAGAGAAAGGAGGGACTCCTCCTTAGGTCATCCAGGGCAGAAGCTTGGGCTGGGCTTTCAGGGTAGGGTGCTTCCCTCCATTCCTGTGGCACTCAAGAAGCCCCCAGTCAGCTTCAGAGCAAGAGAAACAGTTCTACATCCTCTGCTTGATGCCACCACCTCCAGGGAGCCTTCCAGGGTCTCCTTCAGTGGGAAGTGGCCTCACTCCTGCCCTGCAGTCCCACACTCAAACTCTCCTTGCTCCTCCTGCCCCACCCAACCATGACTGTCCTCCTGCCTGCAGCAAATCAGTCAGTGGGGCCCCTTGAGGCACGAGAGATGGTGGAGAGCCATTGTCACCACTCAGGGAGCATGTGCCAGGGGCCCACTCTGTCCTGCGGCTCTGCCTGCGTCCTCTCACTTGAACCTTGTAAGAGCCTTGCTAAGTTGGGGTTATTTTGAGCCCCATTTTTCAGGTGAGGGAAGGGCACAGAGAGCTTATGACTTTTACACACAGAGTGGTGGGGCAGGGACTCAAACCCAGGTCTGTCTCTTCTCTGGAGAGGTGCCCGCATTTGGAGGTGAAAACTACCCCCGTGGCCATATGACAGTCCACTGTGACCGGACACTGAAATGACCAGTCCAGGGGGCTTGTGGGCTGGGGTCTGGCTTCACCACTGTGCTGCTGGGTGACTTCCGGCAAGGCCCGTTCCTCTCTGGACCCTGGTGTGTGTGTGTGTGTGTGTGTGTGTGTGTGTGTGTTCTGGGCTACCTCAGAGATCCATTCTGGCTTTGAGTGTGGCATGTCCCATCTTGGGCAGGTCCCAAGGCTTGGGCCCTGGGAGGGAAGGGTTTTGAAGGTCATGGGGAAGGGTTGCAGATGGCAGTGTGGGAGGCAGAGTTCTGGCTAAGAGCTGGACCCCTTGGGTGCACCTCCTGCTTGCGTGTCAGTGTGTAGGGCTAGGGATCAAGGGGAGGTGTGGACTGTGAAGGCACGAGGGATCCGGCTTTGGGACAGGTATGGGGCTGGTCCAAGGGCCTGGATGCTTCTCCCTCCGCTGCCTGCCACAGAGGGGAGTTTGTCTTGCAGGAAACAGCCTTATCCATCAGCGGCAATGGGGGGCTGACAGCGGCCACTCCCCGCCAGCCCCGGCTGGAGGCAGACTCATAAATCCCACGCCAGGCCGGGCTGTAAATTCCTGTGATTCACATCCAGCCTCTTGGAGGACAGAGACATTTGGGGCTGTGGGGCTGGCTGTTCTCTCCCGGACAGGACAGGTGGGCACTGGGGAGAAGCCTCTTCATGGGCCCAGCCGTCTCAGATGGCCCCCTGAGGAGATGCGATGCTGAGCCACCTCTGCCCACGCCCAGGCCACCGCTGCCTGGGCCATTCCTGTGCCCTGGCCCAAATCACCCTGGAGGTCACGTGTGTGGACACGCTCTGTGGCCTCAGAGATCTCATGGGGCCTGTGGCCCTGTGGCCCTGTGAGTGGAGGATTACCCAGGCGCCGAGGCAAGAGACTGAAGGCACAGACTGTTTCAGCGTAACAAAGAAAATAGAATAAGAATAGTCAAAATACAAATTAGATATAGAGATGATCATGGATAATTATCAATTATTATTATAAACATTATTAATCATTACCTTTTAATTACTAATATAACCTAGGAATAACCGGCGGGTATAGGGTCAGCTGCTGAAGGGACATTGTGAGAAGTGACCTAGAAGGCAAGAGGTGAGCCCTCTGTCATGCCCACATAAGGGCTGCTTGATGGCTCCTTGGTCAAGCGGTAATGCCAGTGTCTGGGAAGGCACCCATTACTTAGCAGATCGCAAAAGGGAGTCTCCTTTCCTTGGAGGAGTCAGGGAACACTCTGCTCCACCAGCTTCTTGTGGGAGGCTGCATATTACCCAGGCCTGCCCGTAGTCATCTGGAGGCCTAAACCCCTCCCTGTGGTGCTGTGCTTCAGTGATCACGCTCCTTGTCCTCTTTCATGTTCCTCCCGTACTCCTGGTTCCTCTTTGAGGTTCGTAGTAGATAGCAGTAGAAGGAATAGTGAAAGTCTTCAAGTCTTTGATCTTGTAAGTGCATAGAATAAAATGCTGATGTATGCTGCCTTCTCTCTCTCTGCTCCGGCTGCCTAAGAGGAAAGGGCCTCCTGTCCTGTGGTCAAGTGATTTGCTTCACCTTGTCAATCACTTAGAAGATTCATCCTCCTTACCCTGCCCCCTTGTCTTGTACGCAGTAAATATCAGCGCACCCAGTCGTTTGGGGCCCCTACTGGTCTCTGTGTTGTGATGGTAGTAGTCTCCCAGGCCCAGCTGTTTTCTCTTTATCTCTTTGTCTCCTGTCTTTATTTATTACAATCTCTCGTCTCTGCATACGGGGAGAACACCCGCTAAGCCCCGTAGGACTGGACCCTACATGACCGGGAGGGTTGGCTCCATGAGCCCCACAGTGAGGTCTCCTGCCAATCTGCAGGGCATTCTGTCTTGGGGTTGTGAGGACACAGTGGGAGATTGGGGCCCAGTCTGTACATCTCTCATTCCAGGGAGGCCAGGGCCCTGAATCCACTGTCCCTTAGGCAGGAAGGGGACAGGGACACTCAGGTTAGGGCTGCAGCCATTTGTCGACTTTCATCAGGACTTTTGCCACACTCACATGCCACCGGAACTCTTCTTAGTGTTTTTTAGAAATCAGCTTACTTTTAAAATTTAAGTGTGTGTTTTAGCCTCGTCTTTAGCCATATTTGTGAAATCAGGGTCTGATATACTAGTCAAATACCCTCACACATGTACACATACACATGTGCGCACACACACTCACACAGACACACACATATACACATATATGTGAAAATATACACATGAAATATATCCATGAAAGTAAACACATAGTTAAAATAGCAAATGCTCAGCTCCGTGTACCATCTAATCCTGCTTTAGGTTTAGAGTGGCTCTCTAGTCTCCCCCATTATGGGTGATTCCTTACGGGTGATACAAAACAGGTTCAGCTGGCTCACAGAGCTGAGCATTTACCAGCCATTCTAGCCTTCCCCCACTTTACAGACAAGAAAACCTAGGTCCAGAGAGGTGCAGGGCCTGCCCGAGGTCGCACAGCACTGGGATTAGTGGCCAGCCTGCCTGACTCCCAGTTGAGTGCTCCTTTGTGGAAGCACACTCCGTGTCTGCGGTGTGCAGGGCTCCTTCCTCCAGAAGCACATGTGGACTCACAGAGGCCTTTTGGAGACAGTGGCCTAACACGCCTCCTTCCCCCCCACCTCCCAGTGCCCAGCACCCTCACTGGCCGGCACGGAGCTGGGTGTGCAGCCACTCGGCACACTGATCCATACACGGGGGCAGAGTCACAACACAGAAGCTTGCCTGCACACAGAGGCATTTGCGCCAGCTCCCTGCACACTCGTGCCTGGTGTGCTCCGAGGACCACCTGTGCTGCTCATGGAGACAGGGCTAATGTCCAGGAGACAGGAGACAGCTAATGTCCAGCTGTCATTTCTCTACCTCAGGTCAGAGAGTCTGACCCGCTTAAGAGCCTTCCATGGCTCCCTACGGCCTACAGCACTGAGCCCCAAAACTCATACTCTTCAGACTTCGAAGATTCTCCACCCTATGCCCCACCCTCCCCACAGAGCTCTTCTTCATTCTGTCTCTGTTCCCTGCTTTGGCCAGCAGCTGTCCTGGATGCGGCCCACACTGCCACACTGCAGCCTCTTTACCCAATACCCTCCAATTCCTCGCCACGTAATTCTTTCTCAGTTATGCCCCGGACTGCATTGAAGCCAGGCTGTCTTTTTTTTTTTTTTTTTGAGATGGAGTCTCACGCTGTTGCCCAGGCTGGAGTGCAGTGGCGCGATCTCGGCTCACTGCAAGCTCCGCCTCCCGGGTTCCCGCCATTCTCCTGCCTCAGCCTCCTGAGTAGCTAGGACTACAGGCGCCCGCCACCGCGCCCGGCTAATTTTTTGTATTTTTAGTAGAGACGGGGTTTCACTGTGGTCTCGATCTCCTGACCTTGTGATCCGCCCGCCTCGGCCTCCCAAAGTGCTGGGATTACAGGCTTGAGCCACCGCGCCCGGAAGCCAGGCTGTCTTAAAGAAGCTCTCCCAGACTGCCCTTTTCACCAAGGCAGGGTCATGACTTGCCAAATGTTTTGCTTGCATTAGTAAGACTAGAGTTGGAGCAGGCATCAAACCTTACATCCCATATGTCACACCTCACCACAGACCTGGGTGCCAAATACCCTGAAGAGTCTGAACTCACGTTGGTAGTTAGCAAAGTGCTCCTATGGCCACATCTACAGTTAACACAGCATCCCTATGGCCACTGTCTCCCTTGATCCCCACAGCCACTCTGGGAGAAAGGCAGAAAGAAATCATTTGATAGAAAGGACGCTGAGGCTCTGGAAGGGAAAGGGACTTGCCTGAAGTCCCAGGGTGAAGCAGCATCTCTGGACTCCCAGTCCAGTGGTCTTGCCCAATACCATGCTGCTTGCCTCTACCCATCTCCGTTGGTCATCAGAGCATCATAGAGCAAGCCCCAATCCTTGCCTCATTTTGATTTATGGGCGCTGGACCCACAGCCCCACCCTACAGTCATTTGGAGACAAAAACAGATGCTATTGTTCTTCCTTAGAGAACGTGGCCAGTGGAAACAGGGCACACTGGGAATCAGAGTGAATGTCCTTGCAAGAGGGCCATGGGTCAACAAGTCCAAGCCAAAAGATGCAGAACGCTTTTCCTTAGAAATCTTCGGAAGTGAAGCAGGCTTCAGACACTCCTGTCCCTGCCCCTGCAGCCAGCCCTACTATATTGGTTTAGATCCCGTAGGGTGGGGCGGGGGTGTGGGCGTGGTGGGGGTGGAGGAAAATATCAGGTTGCCCATGGCCCCCAGGCTCCTGTCCTGGTCCAGGCCTGGGTGCCATTCTTACACACTCACACTCGTGTGCAAGCTCCCCCCCACACATAACACACCTTGATGGTCACACAGTCACAGCCTGGTCTCTGAGCTCCTGTGGGCCAGTGGCCGGACACCCCTTGGAATGGCTCAAAGGAGTCAGGACTTGGAAGTGGGGACATCAGGGTAGCTGAAGGAAATCCACACAACCAGAGCAGATCGGAGTTCAGACTCTCTGACCTGAGGTAGGCTCCCCAGGGGCTGGGAGAGGAGTTGGAGGGAATGGAGGATGGAGCACACACAGAAGAAAGGAGGAGGAATGCAAGGTGTAGGGCAGCTGCCAAGAGTGAATATGGAGGGAAGCGCCATGTAAGTGCTGGAAAGAAGCGGGCAGGTGGGACGAGCCCCATAGCCCCCTCCCTAAAAACAACCACCTCCGGGACTCAGTACTCCTTTGGGGGCAGGCTCCGTCAGCCCTCGGCCACTCAGGGCTCCAGCACCCACGGTCCGAGTGCCTGGGATGGAGACGGCCAGTTCTGGCTACCAGGTCCGATACTCTGGAATCCAGCCCCATTTCCCTCCTGGCCACGTCCGTCCGGCAGCCTCTCCCGCCCTATTCAGCTCCTACTCACCTGGGGACCCCGGGCGGGAGCGCGAGGGCACCTGCCAGGGGAGGGCCAAAGGGGTCGGGGAAGCCCCCTGGTGCCTGCGTCAGGCCAGGACGCTCTGCACCTGCGGCCAAGAGTCATCCACGGGCGCCCGTGGGCGTGCTGACAGTGGTCGTGTTGATGTCACCAATGGTGCTGGGCGCCTCCCTCAGCACGTGGTGCATGCGCAGCATCTGGTCTCCCCGCTGTGCCTGCTCTGTCCACTCCTCCATCAGCATGTTCTGGTTCCCACTCGAGTACAGGCTGGCCAGCAGCTCCAAGAAGATGAACTCCTTGGTCTGAGAGTAAAGGGGGAAGGAGGTTGGAACCTGATGCCTTGCTGCTCTGGCCGCCCCACGGGGCCCTGCTGGGAATGTGTGCTGGACTTGGAGCCCTGAGTATGGCTTTTCAGGCGGCTTCTACACCGCTTAGATTGGAAGATCTGCCTGCCCACTGCCCTTTTCTCACTCAGATGAGGACACTGAGGTCCAGAGGAAGAGTCACCTGTCCAAAGTCACAGTTCTGGGAAGGGACTTAGGATCTATCATGCCACCAGGACACCTGTCTACTCAGTTTTTAATTTTTGGAGATAGGATCTCGCTCTGTCACGAGGCTGGAGTACAGTGGGCGAGATCATCGCTCACTGCAGCCTCAACCTCCTGGGGTCAAAGTGATCCTCCAACGTCAGCCTGTCGAGTAGCTAGGACTACAGGCACGTGCCACCACCAAGCCCAGCTATTTTAAAAAGTTTTTATATAGAGATGAGGTCTCATTATGTTGCCCAGGCTGGTCTCGAACTCATGGGCTCAAGTGATCCTCCCACCTCGGCCTCCCAAAGTGCTGGGATTACAAGCATGAGCCACTGTAATCCCACGTTATATTTCTATGGGACAACTCTGGTCTGGACCGTGTCTCCCTTTCTGAGGATGGTCCCACAAGGCTGGTCGGCATCTCCCCCAGGCCAACATGGCCACCTGGGTCCCCAGTGCCACAGGAATTCCCTACCCCCATGAGGCGGCACATGCACGTTGTTGATCATGAGGTGGATGATGGTCTTGGGCATGAGGTCCTGCACATTCTTGTTGACAATGGCCATGTTCTGAATGGTCTCCACTTGCTGCTCCAGCTGTGGTCCATGGAGTGCATGAAGCTATCGGAGCCATTCCCCTCGGTCTTGCTGGCCTGTCATGAAGAACACAGGGCATCAGGGTACACAGGCCATGTCGCCAGGCTCCAGGCATCTCCTGCAAGGGTACCTGGAACATTGATGCAGAGAGAGAAGCAACTGGCCTAAACAGACACCCAGATCCCCACATGCTCTAAAGGGTTTCAGGTCTCTGCCCATCCCTATATCTCTCAGGACCCCAGACTCCCCTGATTCAGTCTTATCTTGTTTCTGACTATAGTACCCAGAGTTTGCCTCAATTTCCCAATCCAGAAATGAGAAAACAACATCTGCAGGTCCTTTGCTTAAAGACCTGGCCAGAGCTGGTGCCAGGCTGCAGATGCCTGGCAGGAAGCAAGAGAAGGTCACACTCACTTTCTTCTCGTCCTGGGAGGCCCACACACCAACACTGCCACCACTGCTGGCACCAGGGAGCACAGCCAAAGTAGACACACACAGCGGGGAAAAGGGGAGAGATTGAGTGAAGCTGGGACACTGCACCCCAACTCTAAGGCTCCTCTAGACAGTGCCACAGTGAAATAGGGGAGAAAAGAGAAGGCAGTCACAGGATGAAGGGGTGGCCTACCCCTCTACACCTGTGGGCGTTTCTCATTAGGTGGAACTAGAGACTTGAGAAAAGAAATGAGACACAGAGACAAAGTATAGAGAAAGAAAAAGTAGGCCCAGGGGACTGGTGCTCAGCATAAGAGGGCACTGGTCTCTGAGTTCCCTAGTATTTATTGATAATTATCTTTGCCATCTTAAAGATAAGGGAGTGGCAGGATAATAGGATCATTGTAGGGAGAAAATCAGCAGTAAGACATACGAATAAAGATCTCTGTGACATGAATAAGTTTAAAGGAAAATGCTGTGCCTTGATATGCATATGCAAACATCTCCATAAACCTTTTAGCAGCATTGCGCCAGCAAGTCCCACCTTTGGCCGTAAGGTGGTTTTCTCCTATCTCAGTAAACAGACCATACAATCGGGTTTTACACCGAGATGTTCCATTGCCCAGGGACGGGCAGGAGACAGATGCTTTTCTCTATCTCAACTGTCAACAACCGCCAAGAGGCCTTCTTTCCTCTTGTACTAGTCCTCCTCAGCACAGACCCTTCACGGGTGTCAGGCTGGGGGACGATCAGGTCTTTCCCTTCCCATGAGGCCATATTTCAGACTATCACATGGGGAGAAACCTTGGACAATACCTAGCTTTCCTAGGCAGAGGTCCCTGTGACCTTTGGCAGTGTAAGTGTCCCTGGTCACTTGAGATTAAGAGAATGGTGATGACTTTTAACCAGCAAGCTGCCTTCACACACTTCTTTAACAAGGCACATCCTGCACAGCCCAAAATCCATTAAACCTTGAGTCACCACAGCACATGTCTCTTGCAAGGACAAGGTTGGGGGTAGGGTCACAGATTAACAGCATCTCAAATACAGAACAAAATGGAGTCTCTTATGTCTACTTCTTTCTATATAGACACAGTAACAGTCTGATCTTTCTTTCTTTTCCCCACAACAAGAAACCAGCATCATAGAAAGGGCATGCAGGAAATGCCATCTGTGGCAGAGAGGGAGACCCAAAACTGCCACTGGAGAAGGATGGGAGGACCAGAAAACTTAACTCTGATCTCACCCCCAGAGTAGATAGTGGGGAGGATTCCTGGTTATTTCTGAGTCAAACAAGGGCTCAGAAACATGGCATGACTTGGCATTGCTGTGGATGGTGCCCCAGGGCCCCCTAGTATCAGCAGCTTGCCCCTCCTCTCCTTGCCCTGCTGCTCACCCCAACACACTCAAGGTACATGCCAGCCCTCAGAAAGGAGGACTTCCAGCTCTTCACCTCCTCCTGTGTCTCACGGGCCAGCTGCTGATAATCCTTGTAGAAATTCCTGCAAGACAGGGCAGGCAGTGAGGGCAGATGGGCAAAGGCCCACCCTCCCTGGGGGCTAAGGGTATGCCTGGACTTTGGGGTCATCATACCTGAGGCAAGTCCTGGCTTGCTCATTTCCCAGCTGTGTGATTCTGGGTAAATCCCTTCCTTTCAGCCTCAGTTCCCTTATTAGGAAGATGGGTTAATAATAATTCCTGCCTTGTTATGGTTTGGCTGTATCCCCATCCAAATCTCAACTTGAATTGTATCTCCCAGAATTCCCACACGTTGTGGGAGGGACCCAAGGAGAGGTAATTGAATCAGGGGGGCTGGTCTTTCCTGTGCTATTCTCATGATAGTGAATAAGTCTCATGAGATATGATGGGTTTATCAGGGGTTTCTCCTTTTGCTTCTCTCATTTTCTTCTGCTGCTGCCAAAGTAAGAAGTTCCTTTCACCTCTCGCCATGATTCTGAGGCCTCCCCAGCCATGTGGAACTATAAGTCCAATTAAACCTCTTTTTCTTCCCAGTCTCAGGTATGTTTTTATCAGAAGTGTGAAAATGGACTAACACATTAAATTGGTACCCTTAGAGTAGGGCATTGCTGAAAAGATACCTGAAAATGTGGATGTGACTTTGGAACTAGGTAACAGGCAAAGGTTGGAACAATTTGGAGGGCTCGGAAGAAGGCAGAAAAATGTGGGAAAGTTTGGAACTTCCTAGAGACTTGTTGAATGGCTTTGCCCCAGAACGCTGATAGTGATATGGACAATAAAATCCAGGCTAAGGTGGTCTCAGATGGAGACAGGGAACTTGTTCGGAAGTGGAGCAAAGGTGACTCATGTTATGTCTTAGCAAAGAGACTGGTGGCATTTTGCCCCGCCCTAAAGATTTGCGGAACTTTGAACTTGAGGGAGAAGATGTAGGGTATCTGGCCGAAGAAATTTCTAAGTAGCAAAGCATTCAAGAGGTGACTTGGGTACTATTAAAGGTATTCAGTTTTATAAGGGAAGCAGAGCATAAGTTTGGAAAATTTGCAGCCTGACTATGCGATAGAAAAGAAAAACCCATTTTCTGGGGAGAAATTCAAGCCAGCTGCAGAAATTTGCATAAGTAGCAGGGAGCCTAATGCTAATCCCCAAGACCATGGGGAAAATGTCTCCAGGCCATGTCAGGGACCTTCATGGCAGACCCTCCCTCTTGGGCCCACAGGCCCAGGAGGAAAAAGTGGTTTTGTGGGTTGGGGCCAGGGACCCTGTGCTGTGTGCAGCCTAGGGTCTTGGTGCCCTATGTCCCAGCCACTTAGCTGTGGCTGAAAGGGGCCAACATACAGCTCAGGCTGTGGCTTCAGAGGGTGGAAGCCCCAAGCCTTGGCAGCTTCCATGTGGTGTTGAGCCTGTGAGTGCACAGAAGTCAAGAATTGAGGTTTGGGAACCTCCACCTAGATTTCAGAGAATGTATGGAAATGCCTGGATGCCCAGGCAAAAGTTTGCTGCTGGGGCCCTCATGGAGAACCTCTGCTAGGGCAGTGCAGAAGGGAAATGTGGGGTCAGAGCCCCCACACGGAGTCCCTCCTGGGGCACTGCCTACTGGAGCTGTGAGAAGAGGATCACTGTCCTCCAGACCCCAGAATGGTAGATCCACTGACAGCTTGCACCATGTGCCTGGAAAAGCTGCAGCACTCAATGGCCAGCCCATGAAAGCAGCTGGGATGGAGGTTGTAACCTGCAAAGCCACAGGGGTGGAGCTGCCCAAGACCATGGGAACCCAACTCTTGCATCAATATGACCTGGATGTGAAACATGGAGTCAAAGGAGATCATTTTGGAGCTTTAAAATTTGACTGTCCCACTGGATTTCGGACTTGCATGGGCCTTGTAACCCCTTTGTTTTGGTCGATTTCTCCCATTTGGAACAGCTGTATTTACCCAATACCTGTACCCTCATTGTATCTAGGAAGTAACTAGTTTGTTTTTGATTTTACAAGCTTATAGGTGAAAGAGACTTCCTTTGTCTCAGATGAGACTTTGGACTGTGGACTTTTTGGGTTAATGCTGAAATGAGTTAAGATTTTGGGGGACTCTTGGGAAGGCATGATTGGTTTTGAAATATGAGGGAGGACATGAGATTTGGAGGGGCCAGGGGTGGAATGATATGGTTTGGCTGTGTCCCCACCCAAATCTCAACTTGAATTGTATCTCCCAGAATTCCCACGTGTTGTGGGAGGGACCCAGGAAGTGGTAACGGAATTGTGGAAGCTGGTCTCTCCCGTACTATTATCATGATAGTCAATAATTCTCATGAGATCTGATGAGTTTATTGGGGTTTCTGCCTTTGCTTCTCTCTCATTTTCTCCTGGCACCACCATGTAAGAAGTGCCTTTTGCCTCCTGCCATGAGTCTGAGGCCTCCCCAGCCATGTGGAGCTATAAGTCCAATTAAACCTCTTTTTCTTCCCAGTCTCAGGTATGTTTTTATCAGCAGTGTGAAAACGGTCTAATACATCCCTCTTCAGATCACTGTGACGATTCAGCCAAACATTATCCTAAAAAAAATAAGTTAAAAGTCTTGCTTAAATATGACAAGCTTATAAAAATCAACAGAAACATTATATTAGAATTTCTAAAGTAATTTCCATTGAAATCAAGAATAAGAAAAACTGCTGCTTTCCCCAGTGTTAGTCAACATTATTTAAAATGTTTAGCTAATTAAACTGAAAAAAAAAAAATTGGTATGTATATTGTACAAAAAAGGTAAAATTGCATATTTTTGTATATAATAGAGAACAGAGAAAATCTAAGATTTTAATAAGATAAATACTACAATAAATAATAAAATATGATATGTCAAATATATATATACAGCACATAAAAATTAGCCTTTCTCAGTAGGAAGAATAACTAGTCATGGATGTAAATTTATTTTTTAAATAACACATAAAAGCATTATATATTGCTTAGGAATACATATAAAACCATTATCTATTATTTAGAAATGCAAAAATACATTTAAAAAATGTTTAAATATTTGGGAATTATAAACACTGGCTTCTAGACACTAGTCACATATCTAGAAAGGGGGAAGATGAAAGAATGTCATCACATTCAATAAATATGTCAAAATGTTAAAATCTAGTAAGTATGAGATGAGGGTGCATGTTGCCCGGAATATTAATTTTTATATTTCTCTGTATATTTGAAATATTTAATAACACAATTTTAAATTTGAAATATCTTCTTTAAAATCATGGTAAGGCCAGGCGTGGTGGCTCACGCCTGCAATCCCAGCACTTTGGGAGGCTGAGGTGGGTGGCTCACCTTAGGTCAGACATTCGAGACCAGCTTGACCAATATGGTGAAACCCATCTCTACTGAAACTATAAAAATTAGCCAGGCGTGGTGGCATGCACCTATAGTCCCAGCTACTTGGGAGGCTGAGGCAGAAGAATTGCTTGAACTTGAGAGGCGGAGGTTGCAGTAAGTCGAGATTGTACTGCACTGCAGCCTGGCAACAGAGCAAGACTCCATCTCAAAAATAAATAAATAAATAAATAAATGTCTGGGTGCAGTGGCTCACGCCTGTAATACCAGCACTTTGGGAGTTCTAGGCAGGCGGATCACGAGTCAGGAGATTGGGACCATCCTGGCTAACACAGTGAAACCCCATCTCTACTGAAAATACAAAAAAAATTAGCCAGACATGGTGGCGGGCGCCTGTAGTCCCAGCTACTTGGGAGGCTGAGGCAGGAGAATGGCCGTGAACCTGGGAGGTGGAGCTTGCATTGAGCCAAGATTGTGTCACTGCACTCCAGCCTGGGTGACTCCATCTCAAGAAAAAAAATAAAAATAGAAAATAAAAATAAAAATCATGATTAAAAACAACAATAGGCCGGGTGCGGTGACTCACACCTATAATCCTAGCACTTTGGGAGGCCAAGGCCGGTGGATTGCCTGAGCTCAGGAGTTTGAAACCAGCCTGGGCAACATGGTGAAACCCTGTCTCTACTAAAATACAAAAACAAAACAAAACACGAAAACAACAACAATAATGGCTAAGAACGTTTGTATATTAAGTAATTTTTAAAGACAGAAAACAAGATCTAAGCAAGTGGAGAGACATGCTGGTACTCCAGAAAGGATAGTGTTAATGTTAATTCCTAGAAAAATTAATGTATAACTATGATGCAATTCCCACTAGAATCACATTGAATTATGTCTTGGTCCATTTTGGCCACTGTAACAAAATACTATAGATTGGATAGCTACTAAACAACATAAATTGACTTTTCCTAGTTTTGAAGACTAGGAAGTCCAAGATCAAGGCACAGGCAGTTCAGTGTCTGGTGAGAGCCCATTTCGTTGTTTATTTATGGTGCTTTTTTGTTATGCCCTCAGCGGGGGAAGGGACAAGCAAGCTCCCTTGGGCCTCTTTTATAAAGGGACTAATCCTGTTTATGGGAGCTCTGCCCTGACATCCTAGCTACCTCCCAAAAGCTCTACCTTTTAATACTGTCACCTTGGGGGATAGGATTTCAACATAGGAATTTGGGGAGGGCACGACCATTCAAACCATAGCAAGTCATTTTACAAAAGTACATGAAATGAACGTAAAGTTCAAATGAAAAAATAAATGAATAGGCAAGAAAACTATGAAAATAAAAAATAGAAACAGGGAGAATTGCCCTACCAAATATTAACCTATATGATAAAGTCAGTATAATCAAAACAACATTAAAAGATGAATAAAAATGTATCCATGGATCAGAAATTGATCCCAAAATCAATGTAAGTGTATATAAGTATATATATATACTTATATTAGTATATATAATATGTAGTATATATAGTATATATAATATATAAAAGTATATATTATATGTAAGTATAATATTATATATAAGTAACTATATATAGTATATATAATATATAGTATATATAAGTATATATAATACATATAAGTATATATAATATATGTAAGTATATATGTAAGTATATATAAGAACATAAAATATACAACATAAAGTATATATAAGGACAAAAAATATAAAAAATATTCAGTGGGAAAAGGTTAATTTTTTAAATATAAGCTGGCTATCAATCTGGAAGAAAACACGATCTCATGCCATTCATAAAAATAAGGTTCTGATGGTTTAGAAATTTAAATATAAGGAATAAAGAATATGAACATGGAATGCACAGAAGAGAAACATGTGTTTTATAATATTATGACAATACACTCAATGTCATTAGAACTCAGGAATAAGTGAACTGAATACTTTGTGGTTTTACC